GGGTCTCACCTGGTAGTGCTCAGGGAACATAGGCTGTGCCAGGTACCTGACCGGAGCAGGCCACAAGCAAGGCAAACGCCTTAACCTCTGCACAATCTCTCGCTGGCTCTCTGGCCCCGCTACACTAGCTTTGGTGGAACAGTATACGGAGGTCCTTGCCAGTGCAATAAGATAGGAAAATGCAAAGGATGAGGAAAGTGAGAAGAGAGGGAGTGAAAGAAAGAAGCCATTGAACCAGAGAGACGAGACCAGCCTGCCACAGCCTATTGGCTTCTCTTTCCTGGTTCCGGTCTCCTTTAATGGCTGAGACACTCCTATATCCTGCCAGGAAATTCCTTGCTTTGCTGACGCTGGTTCGACTAGCACGGGTTCTGTCCCACGCCATCATAAAGATCTTGATGTGGGGGCTGGAGTGATAACACAGCAGGTAGGGCATTTGCCTTGCGTGCAGCCAACCCGGGTTCGTTTCTCAGCATCCCACATGGTCCCCTGAGCACCACTAGGAGTAATTCCTGAGTTCATGAGCCAGGAGTATCCCCTGTACATCGCTGGGTGTGACCCAGAAAGCAAAAAAAAAAAAAAAAACAAAACAAAGGATCTCAATGTGGTCGGAGCAACAGTTCAGTGCAGGGCACTTTTCTTACATGCAGTGACTACAGGTTTAATCTCTGACATCCCATATGGCCCTCCAAACCTACCAGACGCGAACTCTGAGTGCAGAGCCAGGAGTCATCCCTGAGTACCACAGGATGTGACCCCCAAACAAAACGATAAAGGGTCTCAGTAAGTACAGTGCCAAGCCTGGCCCCTGAACTCTACTGGATGGAGTGAGGGGATGCTCAGGAAGACATTCAAAGCCTCTGTAGGGCAGAGTGAACAGTGGAGAGGCAGGGGCCGGAGGATGGTACAGCAGGGAGGGCATTTACCATGCATGCTGCTGACCCAGATTTGAGCCCTGGCACCCCATATGGTCCCTTGAGCAACACCAGGAGTGGTCCCTAAATGCAGAACCAGGAGTCAGCCCTGCACACTGGGTGTGGCCTCCAAACCCCAAAAAAGAGTGGAGAGGCAGCGACGGCACTGGATGCTGAGAAGGGTGTAGTGGGGGGGAAAGTGGCAACAACAGCCCGGGAGGCAGAGGCTCTGGGTGACCGAACTGGCCCTGGCAGGGAAAATGGGGGGCCTTGGGCCAGACACCGAACCTCTGTGGAAGCAGTTCCCCATCTGGACACAGGCGTGTTTGCCACCTACCACATGTGCCTGCCCTAAGGAATACTCAACATCAGACGGGAAAGAGAGGACAGTAAGGCGCTCGCCTTCCCTGCGGCCAACCCACATCAGATCCTTAGCGACGGGCTGGCCCCCTGAGCACAGAGTCCGGACTGAGCTCTGCGTATGGCCCCTCAGTGCCAAAGTACCCGGTTGATTCTATATTCCCGGGGCTGACCACCAGCTTAGACTGCAGACTGCTGACGGATTAGATTAGATTGTAGCCCCTCTTGAGATCCCTTACCCGAGTGTAGGATGCCGTTGGTCTGCCCTTCCTCCCTGGCTGCCGGGAGCTTGTGTTTGTTGACTGCCCCCCAGCCTGTCAACTATCTTTGTCTAATGATCAGACTCTGAGTTGTAAATATTGTCTTTCTCTTCTCCTTAATGTCCTTCGCATGGTTAGTTATTTCAGAGCAATTGCTTTTTTGTATGGATACAGGAAGACAGTTAAAAAGACAAACCTGTGGCTTGGGAGTTGATTGACTCCAGATAATATTACTTCCTGGACATCTGCTCTCCCGACATAAGCCACAGTTGCCCTTCCTTCCTAGATCCCCAAGAGCAGGGTCCCGATAAGGGACTGGATGGACCCAGTGCAAGCGGTGAGATATGAGCTACCCCGGCATCGAAATGGGCCTAGCCAAAGTGCCCTAATGCTTAACTATAAGTTGAGAGCATAGTCATGAGCAAATTCAGTCATGATCCAAAAGTAATAACTATATTTGGACCCTGCTGGGGTTAGAAATGATTGATTCGGCCTGAGCACAGTAGTCTGAGTCTGTGGTGAGATGTCCCCAGGAGAGTTACCCTACAAGCCTTAAAGTGTCTATTATTGTGTCCATACAGAATGGTAAATATAGGGAAAAAGAATTAAAGATGTTAATCAAGTTGCAGGTATAAGGAGAGAAGAAACACACTTTTAGGGCTGTTTTGCCCGTGTGGGCTGCAGGTGGTCGGGAAGACTGGAAAAACATCTTTAATTACGCTTCCCGTAGGGAGGAGTGGTGAGAGAATAAAAAAAGAGCAGCTTCGGGGAGGAAAGGGGGGGGATTGAAGGAGGAGAGAAGAGACAGCAGAACGACAGCACAGAGAGAAGAGATAGCGGAGACGGATACTGCGGGAAGAAAGGATTGCGCGGTTAGAGAGAGAGAGACACAGAGAGTGAGTGAGGTGTTTTACATGCCCAAGGAAGTCATTTAGGCCGGGGATGGAGCTCAGCGGGAGAGCACAGGCTTTGCACGCGCTGAATTTAAGCCCTGGTCCCGTCTACACACACACACAAACATCTACACTTTTTTGAAAGCCTTTGCCTTCACAGTGGTACTGCCAACAGTCTACTCTGCCCACATGGGGAAGCAGGGCTCGGAGGATGAGAAAACATCAAACTGGGGCATCCCGCTGGCGAGTAGCAAACACAACGGGGCTCTGAAGTTGGGGCTGACTGTGTCCCAGTCTCTAAAGTGGGGTTCCTCAGGTGACCATCCTCTCCCTTGAGAATAATACTGGAGGAGAAAGCTCTTGCAAAGCTGCTTGATCAAATAAAATTAGTTTTTTTTTAAAAAAAAATAGCAGAAGATATTGAGATAAAAAATAAAGTGGGGTTCCTATCCTAAGAGGGGGTCCAGAGAAGTGGGGGGTGATGGAGAGAACTACCTACCACAGCTCTCTGGTTTTTTTCTGGCAAGACCTCAGCCACGTATTTGGTGATGCCGGCACTCTGCAGTTGCAGCCGCTCACACTGGTCCACGATCTTGTTCTGCAACACAAACCACGCTGTGAAGGACCGTCCATATTGTTTTCCAGAAAGCCTGGACCAGTCGGCACTCCCACCAACAGTGAAAGAGCGTCCCTTTTCCCCCACATCCACGCCAGCACGAGCTGCTTTTGTTCTTTCGAATGTGTGCCAGTCTCTGTGGTGTGAGATGAAGGTTGCTCCATAGTCGGAAGGCTGCCTCATGAGCTGGGGGAGAAGGCAGCTGGGATAGAGAAGGGATCACTGAGTCAATGATGGCTGGAGGGATGGGTCGGGGTGGGAGATGTGCGCTGAAAGTAGATAAAGGACCAAACGTGATGACTTCGCAGCATCTGTATTGCAAACCATGATGCCCCAAAGTAGAAAGAGAGTATGGGGGAAATTGTCTGCCATGGAGGCAGGGGGAGGGTGAGGAGGAGGGATATACTGGGGAGACTGGTGGTGGGGAATGTACACTGGGGTTTGAACATTGTATGATTGTAACTCAAATATGAAAGCTTTGTAACTGTATCTCTTGGAGATTAAAAAAAAGCCACGCTGTGGCCTCCAGACCCCCAATCCCGTTTGCTCTGGCCCAGTGATCTTCTCCTTAATCCACTTCACTCCCCATGCCCACTGCCCACACCCTGACTCCTCACCACTGAAAATGATGCCACCATCTAAATCTTCCTTCCAGCTACCTGGGCCCTTGACTTCTTGGTCTAGACCACGAAGCAAGACCTCCACATCCACACCTACAGCTCTTCAGCTCAACACTGTTCTCGCCCCTTCCCGCTGCCCAACGTCCTTGCCTGGACTTTGCTTCCCTCTTTGTTCTGAATTCCTGCACCCCGTCATGATAATCTCTTTCCTGCACACTCTCAGCCCTCCTCGCATCCCTACTCCTCAGACCTGTTCCCAAGCACAATATGGCTTCTCAAACTCTTCTTGCTGGGGAGATGGCTCAGTGTTAGAGCCTTGTAAGTATGAGGTCCTGGGTTCAATCCCTGGCACAGTTTAAAAAAAAAAAGAGAAAGAAACCAGCTATCTCCTTTTGGGGCCAGGGAGATGGCTCAAAGGGCACATACCAGGCATTCTGCAAGTTCCAAACTCAGTATTTTGCACTACTCAGTGTGGCCCTGGTGACTCCAGGGCTGCTCACCAGCCCTACCTTTGAAATCTCTCTCTTCTGGGCACTTCTGGTCGCCCCACTTCTGCTGGCCTACCGAGATTGGCATTTTTCTCTCGGGAGCACTGTTGGAGTCCCTGGCCAGGCTGGTATTCTTCTTTTTTTTTTTTAGGTCACACCTGGTGATGCACAAGGGTTATTCCTGGCTCTGTACTCAGGAGTTACTCCTGGCGGTGCTCAGGGGACCATATGGGATGCTGGGAATCGAACCCGGGTTGGCCGCATGCAAGGCAAATGCCCTACCTGCTGTGCTATCTCTCCAGCCCCAGGTTGGTATTCTTGACCCAGCCCTCGCAGCTCTTCACCCCAGTTAGCCCTTGCAGATGAGATCCTGGCCCCAGTTCAGAACCCTCAAAGGGCCCCCGTTATAGCCACAGGGACCCCAGAGCGCAGTGTCAGCTTATAGGACTCTGCCTATCTCTGCATGTCACCTTCCTCCCCTCGCTGCCTGGTTTCCTTCCGCTCCAGAAATACACTGAACTGGTCTGGCCCACAGTGCCCCGGCACCTGCTGTTTCCTCTGTCACTGGCTGCTGCCTTCTCCCAAAGACACACACACACACACACACACACATTCTCTCTTTCTCTCTCACACACACACTTATACTCTCACACTCATATTCTCTCAGTCTCACACTCACACAAATTCACTCATACACACAGAGTCTTACATACACTATCACACTCACATACTAACTCACTCACTCACATATACTCTCACGTACAACCACACAGTCACATACACTCACACAACCACAGACACACACATGCTCTGACACACAAACTTACACACACTCTCATATACTCACACACACTTATTCACATACTCTCACTCACACAACTCACATACTCACAGCACTCTTACACACATACACACACTCACATACACAGAAACTCCCTCTCACACACTCACATATACTCTCACATACTCACACAATACATTCACACACATACTCTCACATACACACACTCACACCTATTCACATACACACTCACAGTCACATAACTCACACACACTCACATACATTCTCACACAGAGGTCGCCTTCCCTCCCCACTTTCAGAGGTCACCTCTTCAGAAGCCTTCCCTGACCAGCCCTGACTTTCGTCCATTTTCCTTTTTTTTTTTTTTTTTTCAGATTTTCAGGCCACACTTGGCCATGCTCGGGAGTCGCGCTTGGCAATGCTCAGGGGCCATGCAATGCCAGGGATCGATTCAGGGTTCCACATGCAGAGCCTATGCTCAGTGCTTTGAGCCCTCTCCTCAGCCCCATGTGCCTTGTTTTCCTCCCTCATGACTGTGGGCATGCTTACTTCCTTTTCCCATTCCCGAATACCCTGCCTCTGAATGGTTCTCCATGCCTTACTACCTCGAAGTGAGTTCCTCTACCCAGTGGGCCCTGAAAAAATATTTGGTGACTGAATTACCACCCGCTTCCTTGGCCACAGGGTTTCTGTGGTTTACAGCACCCAGAGCTGTAAGCAAGCAGCCCCCATGAGACCAGGGGTGAAGATGCACACACAGCCTCAGAGAGGGACCTGCTGAGGGTGACCCAGCCAGGCGCCTGCCGCCTTGCTCTCTTTCTCGGGGTAACAACCAGCGTCCCTGCCTGCAACAGCCCCTCCACGATTTCCCCTTTGGGCTTAACCAACAAGTCAATTTGCTCAGCTCTTCTGGGAAGTCCTTGTAAATCCCCCTGACTCTCAGTTAGACCCTGATCTGACATATGGCAGGGGTGGAATGGAGTCGAGCGGCAGGAAGCTGTGAGCAGCCCACCCCACAGGCTGTGGGAACTGACACTGGCGTCAGAAAAGCTAGTGGCCAGGCTCCAGGAGGTCAGAGAGTCATGGAGCTGGCTCTGCTTTGGCTCAGATCTGTAACACTCTCGCCCTCAGGCCATACTTCTTGACTGGCTGGAGAAACCTTGGAAGGCAGGAGCAAAAACCACAAACTGGTCCCAGGGGGTAGCTAGGAGAGGGCCTTGCCTGCGTGCGACCCTGGGTCTGATCACCCGCACTGCAGGGTTCCCAGAACAAAGCTGTGTGTGTCACTGGTGACCTAAGCATGACATGTGTTTGACATGTGACCCCCCTCCCCCGCACACACACACCTTAACAACAAAAGCCACAATCTATGCAGAGCTGGAGGGAGGGTCAGAGAGATGGCTTGAAGGGCTGGAGGGAGAAGGCTTCAGAGTACTTCAGAGAACAGTCCCTGAGCACCTCTGTGAGCGCCCACAAAACAAGACAAGGGGCGGAGAAACAGTTCAACAGGATGAGTTCTGCATGCAGGGGGCCTGGGTTGGATCTCCAACACAACATGATCCCCTGAGCAAGAACCCAGCTGAGAGTAGCCTCTAAGCACTGCCAGGTGTGGTCCCCAAACCAAAACATAAGAAACAGAAAATCCAGCGCAATTTCCATAACAAACCCCCCAAAATTGGAGGGAGTTACCTGAGAGGTAGTAGAGCGGGGAAGGCACTTGCCTTGCATGTGGCTGACCCAGGTTCTATCAAGTCAGCACACAGGGTCCCCAGAGATCCCCCAGGAGTGATCCCTGGAGGCAGAGCCAGAGGTAAATCCTGAGCATGACACAGTCTTGGTATGAAGCAAACACAAAAACAGGAAGAAAAAAAAAAAACGTGGGAGAAAGAGCAAGGCCAGTCTCGGTCCAGGCAAAAGAGAGGCATATGCGTAGGGCCTCTCAGGACCGCACTCCAGACAGAGGCACTTTGTGTGAGTTATCAGGCCTCTCACCCACCTCCCATACTCAGCCCAGATGACAGACCTTTTTTCCCTAAGTCTTAATTACATGCTCATAGTCATTAATGTCACTTCCTCCTAACCAACGACTAAAACACAAACCAAACGGTGCTTTCCTCTGGCCCAGGCAGCGATTCCCCACATCTAGCCCCTGAGCACTGTTAACAGAGTCACTCTGGGCCTCCATTTCCACATCAGTAACGTGGAGGACACTGCTTCAGAGGCCTGGTTGCGGGGTGAGAGGAGGGAACTGCACTGGAGTGATCCGGGCACGTATGTGGGTTCTGCCCATTCCGTACCACACGAGTCTCCTTTCCTTTCACCGTGGCTGTGAGGGACCGTGGTGGCACATCAAGCCAACGGGGGAGTTTTCAGATGTCATTCCCCCAATCCCTCCCCTCCACCTGCACCCCGTCAGGCCTGTTCTCCTCGGGACACCAGGTGAAGTCCCCAGCCAGGCCCTCAGGCCGCACAGCTGGGCAAAAGTCCAGGAAGGGGCTGAGAAAATCAAACCCTTTAATCAAATCGCAAGGAAATTCCCGCGGGGTGCGGGGGGGGGGGGGCAGCAAAGCTGGGGGAGGTGGGGGATGAGGAGGGAGCCAGTCCCGAGGCTACTGGACTCCCCCATCTCAGCTGCCCAGAGGTGGGTGTCAACGAGGAGCAGCAGCCCAGGTGAAGAGCTGCACCTGCGCCCCCCCCCATACACCTGCTTCCCCGCCCCGCAGCCCATCATCCAGGGGGAAGCAACGTCAAGAGAAGCCAAAACCAGTCCGGGAAGGTGGAAGGCCAGCAGCCCCAGGAAGCCCGAGCGTGGCCGGGGCTGGGCGGGGAAGAGGGCCAGGAGTCAGGAGGCCGGTCTGCAGGCAGCGGCGCTAACCGACCAAGCGACAGTTGCTCCTGCAGCCCAGGGCAGCCCAGCTCTCAGCGGGGCCAGGGGAGGAGGCGCGACCAGCGGGACAGGCCCCCTGGCCCAGCAGCAGGAGGATTCGAACTCCCGACTCCAGCGGCCGCGCCCGTAGCCGCCGCGTTCCCCCGCCCCGGCACCCCGGGACCCCGGGACCCCGGGACCCCCGGCTGCGCGCGCCGCCCCTCCCCTGCCCCGGGCCTCCCGGCCCCCGCCCGCGGCCAGCTCACCCGCAGCTCGTCCGCGTGCTCCCCGGCCGGCCGGACGCGGTGGCCCTGGCAGCGGCCGCCCAGCCCGACGCAGGCGGCGCACACGGGCCGGCGCTCGGAGCCGCAGAACCAGCTGAGCGCGCGGCCGTGCTGCGGGCACCGCGGGCCCGCCTCGGACCCCGGCCCGGGCCCCGCGCTCTCCCCGGACATGCCGAGCGAGCGCCCGGCGCCGCGGCCTCCACCTGCCGCAGGTGCCTGCCGGGCGGGGCTGGCTGAGCCGGCGCCGCGCCCGCCCCACCTGCCGCAGGTGCCGCGGGGCGGGGCCTCCCGGACCCGGGCCCGCCCCGCCGCGCCCTACCCGCGCGCCCGGCCTTCCTCGCGCCCGCCGGCTCCCCGCTCCGCTCCGGCCGCCCGCCGGCTGGCGCTTCCTCCTCCTTCTTCTCTTTTCTTCCCTAAGTGCGTGTCCGACCGCACACAGGCGACACCCAGCTGGAGGAAACGTTTACGAGCACTTGCCGGACGCGCGGCGCTGCTGAGCGCTTTGGAGCTGCCTTCTGGGGACCCCGGAGGTCTCGCGCGGGGCCGGGGGGCAGGTGCGCTCGGCTGGCATCTTGCGTCCTCTGTTGAGACACCAACGCACAGAGTCCCGGGGACCACTCCAGAGCCCTGAGCACTGCGGGGTGTGACTCAATACCAGCCTCGCCCTATTAAAAAAAAAAAAAGCGCGTCCTATTGTCTGATGCCCACACCAGCCTCCCTGGAACAGGCTGCGTTAGCCGGGTGTGAGGTCCCAGACCACGGATGGGCCTCCTGGCTGAGCACTTTCAAGCGCCGGCACTGTCAGACTTGTCGAACTTCACCGGCTGGAGCTGAGGGTTAATGGAAGAGTTGGAGCAAATCCGTATCAGGGCACTGGCAGGGACTGCAGTCACAAGATCTGCTAATCACGGTCAATCAATCAATTACGGTCCTCCCGTTGTTCATCGATTTGCTCGAGCGGGCCCAGTAAGGTCTCCATTGGAGACTTTGTTGTTACTGTGTTTGGCATATCAAATACGTCAGCATATCAAATACGTCACGGGTAGCTTGCCAGACTCTGCCCTGCGGATGAGATACTCTCGATAGCTTGCCGGGCTCTCCGAGAAGGGCGGAGGAATCGAACTCGGGTGGGCCACTTTGGCTGCTTGTAAGGCAAATGCCCTAGATCTGCTAATAGGCCCAGGAAAGTGATACTATGACCCCCCCCCCCCACACACACACACACACTCCCCGCCTCCCCGAATGGCAGTGAAGTAATTTGCCAGGGTGACAGTGGCTACTTGGTAACAATTCCACTAGAACCCAAACAATTAGTATGCTAATAATTCTTATCTTGGTTTGTTATATTTCGCTTGGGGGCCACACCCAGCTGTGCTCAGGACTTACTCCTGGCTTGGCACCCAGGGATCATTCTTGGCAGGCTCAGGGTGTGCCAAGGATTGAACCCGGGTTGGCCATGTGCAAGGCAAACAGTTTACCCACTGTACTATTGTTCTGGTTCCTGATTAATATTTTTTTTCTTTTTGGATCACACCCATTGATGCTCAGGGATTACTCCTGGCTCTACACTCAGGAATTATTCCTCGTGGTGCTAGGGAAACCATATGGGATGCCGGGGATCGAACCTGGGTCTGCCATGTGCAAGGTAAACACCCTACCCACTGTACTATCACTCTGGCTCCTGATTAATAATTCTCTAGGACTGGGGAGAGAACTCTGAGGCCCAGAGCACACGCTGTGATGTGGAACCCCAGCTTCTACCAGTAACCCTGGGCAGGGATCCTCCACACCAAATACTGTTATTTAGTGAAGTAAAGATTGTTTGTTATTATTTTTTTATTTGTTTTTGGGTGCTCAGGGCTGACTCCTTGCTCCTTTACTATACACACCAGGAGCATAAATAGGAAACTGGCCCCCAAAGAGTTAAGAGCTGGATTCAAACATTAAGCCCAGCAAAGTCCTCTGGGCTGCTGCAAGAAGAAAAACAATTCAGTTTCCCCTTGTCATGTCCTTCCCCCTAAAAGTCTATTCAAGGAACACAGCACGTAGGCAGACCCGTTAATCAGAAATCTTCATGGAGATTGACGAAGCAGCTACATGTGGGCATGCGTCAGAGGTGCAGACACAAAGAAATTTATTGACTCCCCTGGTGCCCCACCCCACCCCCCTGCCTGGCCTGTCTAAAAATACACTTCCTTGCTCTTTCCCCATATAAACTGCTCCTTGGGACCAGGCAGACAAGGTGGATCTCCATCTCCCGACCAGTCACCTTGTTGCTAAACAAAGCTTTCTCCACTGTCTCTCCACGGGTTGAGCAAATGCAGGGGCAGCGGACTTCGACCTCAGTTCCAGATACTTTTTGAACAGGTTTTCAGAATGAAATGTGTATGTTTCTTGTGTGTGTGTATGTGCGGTGTGTATGTGTGCATGTGGGGAGCTCGGGTGGGGGTGGTGGAATCGCACTGCTGACTTCAAATGAAGTTTCTGAAGCGAGCCACTGAGCAGGCGAAAGCCTCGTGAGGTAGTTTGCCCTCTTCTGGGATGGAAAGCAGGCATCACAACTAGAAATCGTGGATAGAATTTTTTGTTTTTGTTTGGGGAGCATGCCACACAGTGCTCAGGACTTGCTCCTTGTTCTGTGCTCATGGATCATTCCTGGTATGGCACAGAGGACCTGTGTCAGGGAAAATGCCCTGTCCACTGTACCATTCCCCTGTGCCTGGTTAGAAATTTTGTATTCTAGGGGGCTGGAGCCTTAGTACAGTGGGTAAGGTATTAGTCTTGTACGTGGCCGACCCAGCTTGATTCCCAGCATCCCATGTGGTTCCTCGAGTACCGCCAGAAGTAATTCCTCTGCACTCAGGAATTACTCCTGGGGGTGCTCAGGGGACCATATGGGATGCTGGGAATCAAACTCAGGTCGGCCATGTGCAAGGCAAACGCCCCACCTGCTGTGCTATTGCTCCAGCCCCCAGAAGTAATTCCTGAGTGCAAAGCCAAGAGTAACTGTGCATCCCCGGGTGTGAAGCAAAAAAAAAAAAAAAAAAAAAGAAGAAGAAATTTTGTATTCTGGGGATTAGGGAAGTGGGAGTCCATTAAACCATATGGTGAGAATAAGATCACAGAAGGAGGTGTTTTGGTGTGGGAACTAAAGGAAAAAGAGAGAAAGAGATGGGATGGGGTGACGGGAAGAAAAAGTAAGATCCTCCGGGAAAATGAGACCCCTTCATTGGACTTGAGCCTGACCCTAGGACTCAGGAAGAGAGCAGGATGTCACCGGAAAAGCATCTCCCGACAGAGGGATGGGAAGGGGGAAGGGGCTCTTGTGGGAATGGAGCTACATCTATAAAACTGGCACCATCTGTTTCACCACGTAGGGGCCGAGCTGGCCAGGATCTGCAGAATCAGTATCTTCCGTAAATGACCCTGCCTGACCCTTGTCCCCATCAGGTCCAGGGTTTTCATCAACTCCTAAGCGGTGCCTCTCAAGCTTAATCGGCCTTGGAATCACCTAGGGTTTGTAGGGAGCGGGGAGGGGTTGTTAAAGAAGCAGACGTTCCTGTCAATCTCACAAAGTCTCGACAGATCCAGCTACCACGTTCGTAGGACTTGTCAGTAACCAGGATGCAAAGGAACCCAACTGCCCTGAGAAACAAGGTGAGAGGGAAAACCAAAGGGCGGAGACTTTCATTTGGAAGGGGAGGTAGACGCCCCAGCTGTGCACAGGAGCCCTGGGGCCTCTCCCAGCCCCCGCAGGTGCTAGAGGCCACCAGGGTTACATCCAACCTTGCTGGGGGTGGAGGGGAAGGGAGACAGGTGTGTGGTGCTGAGGAACAAACTCAGGGTCCTGTGTGTTCCAGCCATGCACTTCAGCTTTTTGAGCTAGCTCCCTGACCTAGAAGGCTGAGTTTCAATGAAAAGAAGAGGAAGAGGGCTAGAGAAATGGTGGCAGGGATAAGGTGCCTGCCTTGCACACAGCCAAGCCCGATCCCCAATACCCCATATATCCCCCCAAGTATCCGCCACCAGGAAGGATCCCTGGAAGCCCTGAGCACAACTCCCCAACGCCAACCATCAAAAATTATAAGAAAAAGAAGGAGAGAAGGAGGAGAAGGAGAAGATGAGAAGTTCAAGGGGAAAGAAAGAAAGATGTGGGCTGACAAGGTGGCACAGGTGTTGCAGGCCTGAGGGTTAGGCTCTCAGGAATGAGGTGCACTGCTCCTGCCACCAGCCAAGCTGGGGGCCACTAGGGCTGCCTCTCCTAGAAGGTTCTACCCGCTTCAGGTATGTCCCTGGTTCCTGCTCTGGCTTTTTGTTTTGTTTTGGTTTGGTGCCTGGGGTGGAACGCAGGGCCTCATCCTTCAAAGCCTGACCTCTCGCACTGAATACCTTTTGCTCTTCACGTCCTCATTTTCTATGGCTTTGGTCTGGGTCTTTTCCCTTTTCCCCTCTTTAGTAGTGGATGCTTAAAAAGGTCCATGGAAGAGAAGTGTTGCTCTCCAGACCTTTCTCGTGACCTCTTGCCTGCCCTTCAAATACACTCTTAGAGGGGGCTGGAGTGATAGCACAGTGGGTAGGGCATTTGCCTTGCACGCAGCCGACCTGGGTTCAATTCCCCGTATCTCATGTGGTTCCCTGAGCACCACCAGGAGTAATTCCTGAGCGTATAAGCCAAAAAGAAAAAAACTAAAACACTCTTAGCTCCTGGTGGCTGCCTGGCAGGGATCCTGGCCCCTGATGGCCAGCCTCACCTGATGCTCAAGTCCCCTTCCTCCTCAGACTCTGTAGGCAGGGTAGAGTTACCTGACAGAGGGGCACAGTTCCCGGAGAAGTAAGACTCTCAGAGCTGTGAGTGCTTCCCAGGTGATGTTTTCACAGCGCAACCCGCAGTGTCTGTCATCTGCCCTGGACATTTGGCTGCCTACCAGCAGACTTTCCATGTGGGTTTCCTAGGGTGAGTCCAGCCTCCCAAGGAGAAATGTTGAGAGTGGACCAGATGAGGCCAGATTGCTGGAGGTTCTTAGGATCAGTTCTCTGCACCTGCACAGAAATGATAAGATGAAATTGAATTGGGCCAGAAGGGAAAACCAGCTCAGGTCTTCAAGAACCCTGTGAGGGGCGAGAGAGACAGTACAGGCCTTGCATGCAGCCAACCCAGGTTCAGTTCCTGG